AAGCAAGCATTACAATTCTTATATACTGTTATTGAGAGCTTAAATTAGTATACACATTAGAAAGTAATTTGGTATGTATCATAAAATTGGAAGTATACAGAATTATAACATCAGTAAAACCATTTGGTTTGTTTTTTGCTATATATCTTAGAAATGTGTTTACCAAAATCCCAATCACAACATTTACTGTAGCACTATATAAAAATAAATGTTTATCAAAATAATGGATAAATTGTATATATTCATACAGTGCAATACACTGCCCATTACATTAATGAAACTCCACGTACCAAAATAAACAAATCTCAGAAACTAGTATGGAGCTTTAGGACATTACTTATATAAAGTTTAAAAAAATGCTGTTCAATGCTATTAATACTTTTAGAACTATGAATGTGTAGTAAAGAAAACCAGTATGACTTTCAGCACAATGAAGATATTGACTAACCTGGGAAACTTAAGGGGGGGGACAGAGAGAGAGAGAGACAGAGAGACAGAGAGACAGAGAGAGACAGAGAGAGAGAGAGAGAGACAGAGAGAGAGACAGGGAGGGAGGAGGGAAGGAGGGACAGACAGAGAGACAGAGAGATTGGCAGGGAATTTCAATCCTGCCTTTCTCTTCTCTCACTGCTGGGACAAATGGACACCCAAAATGAAGGAAGGAAAGATTTATTCAGCTCACAGTCAATGCGGGTCTCAGTCCATACTCGGCTGGCTCAAGGCAGAGCAGTACATGACAGAGAGCAATCGTTCATGGCAGCAGCAAAGAGCAGAAAGGAAGAGCAAATGGGAGTGGTGGCAACAAATGGCTACAGAGAGCAAGTCTCCCTTATGTTGCATTTTGGCTGTCTGCCCCAGGTTGGGTGTAGCATTTATACCCATAATCCCAGCAACACTCACACTCATAATCCCAGCATTGAATCAGGAATTAATCACAAACTCTAGAAGTCTGCCTCATAACTGCATGAGGCTTAGGAGGGACAAACACACACAAACCATAACAATGGCTAACTTCTTAAATGGGATGTTTCTGTTTGCTTAATATGTTTCATTGTTTAAAACAAATAAAGAGAACTGGAAAGTGGGTGGGTTGACTGACCATGTGGTGAGCGAATATTCATGGGAAAGTGAAGGAAGCATGAGTGGATGAGAAGCCTCATTTGAAGTGGTCTGTGAGGAAAGCCAAGTCAGCAAAGAAAATAATTACTAGTAAAGGTAGTCCAGAAAGGAAAAAGAAAAAATACTATGGAAATTAGAAAGAATTTAAGTAAGGTGTCATATTTTCAAAGCAAAGCACAAGGGTAAAGTATTTTACAGTAGTGTTTTGGGGTAACTGATGGTAAAATAGAACATTAACTGGGGAGTGGAATCTAGTAAGGTCCAATAAGCTTGGAAGTAACCTTGGGGAAGGGTTAAGAGGCTTGCTTACTAGACTCTCAGATACAAAGCTTAGAGTGATTACATAAGACATTGGACAAAATTACGATATTTAAGGGGCATCAATATACTGCAATGAGGTCTGAGACATGAATATATTAATAGTGTTTTAAAATATGACATAGACTACTTTAAAAAATTTCAATTTATATAATTACAAGGTTTGCCTCAACCTGAATATCTATCTTAATACATCACAAGATAAATGCGGACAATGTGTGATGTTACTATCATAAAGGAAATTTTAAAAACAAGTATTGTATTTGATTAGTTCACCAATTATTTCAAGCAGTCAGTTTAAGTACTGAACAATGATAAACAAGAATCATAAATTAAGAAGATTCTGGGGAGGGCGACTAGCACATTCATAATATAGACAGTACTTAGAGCTATAGTGATGCATTCTCTAGGACTTTGGGAACAAATTTGCTTTTTGAGGATTAAACTAATAAACTATTTGTCCTCGTGGGATTAGGCAGCTACAGGCTTACCGGGACACGATCTGTGCTGGGGCGCCTGTACACTTGCATACCTGTATCTGAGGTAGAAAGGATGGAACAGACAGTAATACAGGAAGAAGAATGTCCATAACTAATTATCCTCTCTGTAAAGGCTGAGCAAGTAGACATGGGAAGTACAGCATAAAGTACACAAACTTTCAGACCTATGTAAGTGACACTTCTCATTGAAAATCAATAAATTGGCATTCTAATTTATATATCCAAAGCTTACATTTAGACAGCACGAGTTTTTCAGACCTGACAGGTAAAGGCTATGATGTCAGATGTTATATCTTCTGGACACAGGTCCCTTGTCATTGAAGAACACAAGGAAAACAGTATTTATTTAGAAGGAGAGAATCTAGAGTTGAGATCTTATGAGTATCTTTAAAGATCTAGTTTTTCATGGAAAAACAGAGCTAGACTTTTAACTGTTGGGAACATAGCAAAGAACAATGAGTACAAAGTCCAGGGGGGCTGGTGAGATGGCTCAGTGGTCTAAAGCACCTACTTAGAACAAGCTTAGCAAAGCCCAGGGACTGCGGTTCAATCCCCCAGCCACCACATGCCAGCCAGCCCGCCCCCTGGTGGGCTGAGCTGGCCACACACACACACACACACACACATAAATAAATAAAATTAAAAAAAAAAGAAAGTCCAAACAGCAAGATTTCATCTGGCTAAAAGGAGAAACATACTAACTATTTGAGCTTCCTTCTACCAACAAAGACCTATGTCTTTGTAAAAAAACTTCTTTGATAATAAACAACAGAACAAATTCCTATAGCAAATAATAAAAATTAAAATATAGGAGGTGGCTCACAGACTTGAAAAAAAGGCTAAAATATTTGTATATAGAAAAGGCAAACAGCAAGGCAACTATAGTAGCGGAGAGAAAGAAAACAAAGGACTGCCTCTTTGCCACTACTGTATCATCATGATAAATCACCCTATGTTGGTTTCTTCTCTGGAATTACTGGGAGATACACTCCTATGGACAGGTGGCTCAGGTGTCCCCCTCTCCTGTCTCTTTCCCTTGCCAGGATAGGATAGGGAACTACCAGTGAGTGGATAGGAACTTTTATGATGGCCCCATCAAAGTTTCCTGCAATGGAAAGAAATTATTTTACCAAAGTAAATTTAAGAGAGGGGAAAAATATCAAAACTTCCTATATCTTCATCCTTGCAAATGCAAAACAGGAGGCCCCCATTTGTCAAGAAGGGATTTTTATCCTGGAAGGAAGTTGAAAAAGGCAGTTTAGAAGGCACTTTCTTATTCTTTGTTCTCATTACTGACACATGGGTCATTAGGATTGTCCAGGAGGAAGACCCAGGAAGTACACAATGTAGCTTACAAGAAAGGGAGCAGCGTGGCTTAGTGGGTTAATCAGAAAAGAAAGGCAAGGTACTATTGGTTTTGATTACCTCAAATTTAATACATGTGTATTAGAACTCATCATCTCCTCTGCTCCCTTGATGGTTACAGATAAATGGATGCAGTGAGATGAAATTCAAGTTAGTAAGTGAAGAATGCATGTAGACTTGCTCTCCAGATCCGTGGGGTGGGTAGGATGCTAGGCAGAGGCTTTAAAATTTTGACAATGGTCCTAATAAGGTGGAACTTGTCACCCTTACTAATTCAGCTAGAGGGGATATATAATAGGACCTTAAATTTTGAATTTGATATCTGTGAAACAAAGCAACTGATCAAGGAAACAAAAGAAATCATTGACCACTAGTGACCTCTGGTGGAAACACACTTTAGGGACCTTTGATGCTTTTCCTATTAGGAAAATAAAAACCAGTGGCATAGTCAAGAAACTTTATTTCCAGAGGAATGAAGAAGGCTGCTAGAAACAGCACAGAAATCTTACTCCAAAAGAGGACACATACCCAGAACATTATGTATTTACTTGTGTTGGTCAGGCCATGTTGACTAACATGTTGGAAAAAATGTGGACACGTGACTGGTGTTGAAGGCAGTACCTGAGAAAAAAAGGGCTGTTTGGGCGATGACTTCATGTTGAGTAGGGAACTTTGGCATGTTTGTTGCAGCCATCCAGAGGACATGCTGACAGACTTGAAGACCAGCTGTGCTGGTTGCCAGCACGCTTTTTAAACATCTCTCTATTAAAACATGGATGATAGCTGCTAGATCTGAAATATGTACATGTGTGCCTACTCAGGGTTACACAGCGAGTCCTAACACTTTCTTTTTTTTCCAGTGGGTGTCTGTCTGTGCCAAGGGCTGGCAAAGAGTATGGAATTGTGGGGATGTGACAAGAGGTTTGGTGGCATAGGCCTTTGAAGTAGAACCAATCTCATAAAGGGCTTGAGCACCATCAATGTCAACTTCAAGCCATGCTGAGCATCTACAACCGTTCCCTTTGTGACCTGACTAATCACACCAGGGATTAATAATGTGTGGGTTAGGGGCCGGGGAGATAGCTCAGTAGACTAAGCGCTTGCCTGGCAAGTTCAGGGTCTTGAGTTCAATCTCTAGTACCCCCTAAAAAAATGGGTGGATTGAATTAATTGGGGAATTGTGGGTAGAAGACAGAAAAGAGGAAAGGAAAAAAAATAGAGACAACACACAAGTAAACAAAATCAATATTTCCAACCCCTGGGCACCTGTCACTTCTGGCAGTAGGCGAATGTCGTCCTTGTCTCATATTACCTGCATGGCAGGAGGTATCACCCTGCCATCTTTCATTATTCAGTGTCTCCAGCATGCACCCTGCCTCATTTTCTGGTGCTGCTGCACAACTTGGCAGGTCTGCCTTTTCTTGAATTTTTTATCTCTCCTCTTCATGTCATTTCAAGGATGCAAAAACAGGCCCTAAATAATCCACTTGTGAGAATGTGGAATTCTAGTCCCTGCGTGGACAAAAAGCAGCCTTGCTGCTCCCTAGGATAATGACTTCCCTGCAGGTGTCTCTAAGACACCAATAAACCACAGCACCTCTTCCTCTTGTAAGGGCACCTCTTCTACCCAGGAAATGCACAAACCTTTATCTCTAAAATAGGTCATTTCAGGGATTTAGCGCATAAAAGTTTACTTACTGACGATGAGCTAATTATTTTAATCTGCTCCAAAGCTTCTGTTAGGCTGTCTTCAATTTCAGAGTCATCTAAGGAGAAGAGGTCCCCAGCTCGTGAAAGATCTTTTTGTCCCAAAACCAGTCTGAACAGTTGATGCATGTCGAGGAGTTTGATTAGTTGATTTTCTGTAGACTCAAGGCCATATGTTCAGCTTGTAGAGGTTGGTAAGAGAAAAACTTGCAACAGAAGGTACTTTTCATATTCCATGAAAGGTCATTTTCCTCCAGACTTTGAGGCCTTCTGTGGCACTTCTGTAAGGAAAACAAATGACACAATATAGCCACTGGCAGAATAGCATGAGCTCAGAGTGCGAGGACGCTGGTGCCTGGCAGGGAGAGAGAGAAAGACTTGGAAAGGCACAGGGCAATAGATCCTGCCTTGATAATCTTCAAATGAGCTCTTTCTTTAGTTTAGTTTGAACTTTAAAAAAAAGGAGAACAAAAATCATACTTATTTTTCTCCTGTTTTTTTCTTTTTCCTATGTCCTTTTACATTCCATTCCAAACAAGTAGACAGTCAGTAAACATGCCCAACAAGAGCCAGGTTTTCCCACAAGTAAACACGGAAATCAAACAGAAAGGAAGATTAAAAGAAAACAGTGAGCATCCTTTAGGTGGAAAAGCCTGAGGCCCTTTTTTAGGCTTTGCTGTGGACATCCCTCTCTTGTGGGATTTCCTGGCTGTATTGGCTGTATTACCCTCCACTCAGAAGAAGATGATCTAATAGTTTACCCTATTCCCATGAATTTTCTAATCCAAAAACAATGAAATAAAGGAGTTGGCCTAGAAGTATGGGGTTAGGTAATTGTCTACTAAACATTTGCATGAAGTCCAATTTTGAGTACTGACATAAACGCGATAGCACTGCAGTGTAAGCTAAAACAGGAGTTTTCAGATCAGGCAATACTCCCTATATTTCCATTGTTGAAATAATAAAGTCCTACTGTACTTCACATTCAACCAACAGTCCACAGAGAGTATGCAGTGGCACAAATTAGATATATGATTATTCTCATCAATTCCCTTGTGGAGCTAATAAAATTATAGACCAATTTAAATTAGTACAGACCTTAGTAATCATTTAAAGGAGGCCAGGGAGACTTAATGAATTCCCCAATAATCCATTACAGCTGTGGCAGGGCTTATATCTTGTTTGAAACCTGCAGGCTTTCCCCTAGAATCTACAGTGGCGTAGAATCACTACACACTCACAGATGACTACAAATGCAGCCACATGTTCAGGTTGTCAGAGCTTAGAGGAATGATGCGAACCTTCTAGAACTTTCAGTGATAACGAACAGCCATCTGCAGCATGTATGCCATAGGTTTACTACCACTGGCCTCCTAGAGTGAGTTATTTAATAAAGCAATAAAATGCTTCTGCTAAGTGTAAAAATGGACAGTTCACCTCGAGCCTTTGGATCCTCAGTTTGAAGGCCCTTGTGTCACACGAAAACCAAGAGCAAACATGTGTTATACTTTTCCCTGGTTAACCAGATTTTTGGTCAGCCATCACCCATTAGGAAGACAGGAGACATGACCCCTGCTTTTGCCTCTCATCACCAACAGCCAATGTTTAGTAGGTGTTCACCAGATGCCAGGCACTACTCTGAGCGATTCCCAAGTAGTGAGCCAGCCATAAGGGTAACTTAGCACAATGGAAACCTGATGCTCAGAGAGGAAAGTAACCAGTAACCCAAAGATGCCCATGAATGCCATGAATGTGCAGCACATGCATGACTGAAACCAGCTGGTCTGCTAGACAAAGGCCCCTTGGGGTGTTGTACACTCATACACAGCCATGCATGAAAGCGCTATTGGGGGCTGGGGATATGAGCAGCACAGCACCTGCCTGGCAAGCACAAGGTCCTGAGTTTGATTACTGGTACTGAAGGAAGGTGGGGGGAGAAAGAGGAGAGAAAGAGAGAGAGAGAAAGAGAGAGAGAGAGAGAGAGAGAGAGAGAAACACCATTGAGCTGCCTCTCTTCCCATCAGCCTTGCTTAAGGAACACCCACACACCACACACTGCACTCTGCCACCCTCTTCTGAATAAAGAGCTGCAAGTCACCTCATTTTTCAGCAGCTCTGGTCATGTTTTGCTCAGATATCTGGCTTCTCCTGCTGGTCCTTTTTTGCAACAGCAGAGCTAGTCAAGCCAGATCAAATTCTGCTCATACTTTGAGAAAGCCCTTACATTTCTAAATGACATAGTCCTGTGGCCTACATGCATGTGTATATATGTAAAGACTGCATACACACATGTGTACTCAGGTTAGCAAGCGTGCACATACAAGAAAGGCGTGTGCATGTTTAAAGACTTCCTGTACTTCAAACTCTGTAAGCCACTTTCTTCTTAGTGCTCCCATCAGCCTTGTAGGAAGATAATATTCCACGAAGAGGAAATAGGACCTGGGTGGTTAAATATCATGGCCAAGGATACACAGATACACAAACCAAGACTCACATCCAGGTTTATATTGTACTTTTGGTATCACACACACACACACACACACACACACACACACACACACACACATTAATTCTCTTCCTTATAACGTCTTTCCCTAAATCAAGTGATCTTCATCTGAGGCTCACCCTCTGATTAGTTTTCGTTTGTTTTGTTTTTAGTAGGTATGGGTCGACAAGTCGGCTTGCCCGAAGAAGCAGGCGGGACCCAAAGAGGGCCGGTTCTGCGCCAAGGTTCGGGTCCCGCTGACTCGGTTTACCTGCGTGCTTCTCCTTGCGGGTGCACTTGCTGCTACTCAGCCGCACAGACTGGGAGGGAGATCCGGGGCGGACTGGAGGGCGCAGCGAGGGAGGAAGCGAGTAATCAAGCGGAATGCGCCCAGCTCGGTGAACCTCAAGTTGCTCATTGCGGTGCGGCCGGAGTGGAAGAATTCAAGGAATGCAGCCCGATGCCACCGCGGCTCGCAGCGGGTCAGGTGACAGGCTGCGCCGCTCCGGGAGAGCTACCTCCAGTGAAACGCTGCTTCCTGGGGCGAGACACAAAGCCTGCTCCAGTGCAGGAGAGTTGTTTTGAACCGAAGACAAAACTCCCTGTGTTCATGAAAATCTATACTTGCCCCAGAGAGAATGTGGCGGGTGGGGGTGGGGCAAGCAGTTGGAGCAGGATTAGCAGGTCGGTGAGAGGCTGCCGGGAGCCCTCTCCGGACCCGGAGAGAGGCCACCGACTGCACTTCCAGATGTCAGACACAGGCTAGCAACCCCGCACGACAGCCCAGTGAGTGCAGCCTCTGAAGAAACTGCCCCCTTACTCATCCTGTGCACTGATGTCCTTAAGCGTTTAAGGGGATAAGGAATTGCTAGTAAAGGGAACAAATTCACTACAAACACGCATGCACTTTCCATTTTGCCACTTTCTTTTATTGGAGGCTCTTGGTAAAAATCTTTGTCTATGGACACTTCAACGAAGGAAGAAAAAAAACCCCACGGAAATCTTAATTTGTCATTTCAACTGTTAGGTGTGTGTTTAAACAGTTAAGCTGTATTTTTCTTTCTCTCACTTTCTGTTCCTGTAGTAGGTTTGTTTCCCATCAAAGCATTTGCTTGCTGGCAAAAGCATTCAGGCAGCTGTCTTGCAGAAAAACCCATCTTTATTTAGGACCACAGGGTGTGGGCCCTTAACCTCCAGGAATGCTGCCCACAAAGGTGAGAAGTCAGTCAGGGCGGCCTCCCATGGGCCAGGTTGGGTGCTCCAGAAGAATGCCATAATTTATCTTCATAGGTGCTTGGTGATCAGGCTTATTTTACACCATCCTCATATAGAGAACTGTTCCCAGCAAGTTTCTTTATAAAAGAGAGAATTTAGTTCCCCTAAGAATGCATGTTCTTTCTTAATAACTTTCTAGTTTATAAAATACCTCTGAAGTCTCCTAATAGAACAGACTAGATATCTTCAGCCTTCCTTTTTCTTTATACTGTAGTCATTATTACTGGTTTTTAGTCCTGGATTGTATTCCATGTTCTTACATATTTTAAAGCCTGTAAGGTCCAGAATTGGACACTCCCTGAGATTACAGTAGGAAGAGCAGAGTGGTAGGCGTGTGGGATCCTGGATGCATCCGTGTTCAGTCTCAGCTGAGCAGCCCCTGCAGGGTACATCTGGGCAGATTAATTGACCTTTCTTTCTTTCTTTCTTTCTTTCTTTCTTTCTTTCTTTCTTTTTCTTTTTCTCTTTTTTTTTTTTTTTTTTGCGGATCCGGGGATTGAACTCAGGCCCTTGTGCTTGCCAGGGAAGCGCTTATTCTGCTGAGCCATCTCCTGGCCCCTTAATTGACCTTTCTGAATTTCAGGTTCTTCTTTTGCACCAGAGAATTGCAATCTGGGTTGCTGGCAGGTTTAATAAGATTATATTAAACATTTGACACAGAGCCTACTGTATCGCAACCACAAGAGACGTGACATCAACTAAACCCTTAATAGCATTATTGTTCTTATGGGTCCTTTTCCTGTTAAACACATCCTATGCCACACCTTTTAAAGTATAATGAATATACTTCTGTAGTGCTAACTAAACTGAGCTCCCAGTGTAAAGACACCTTTTCCACTTGGATCCTTTTTATATACTAGCTATTTTTTCTCATTTGGGGCAGTACTACATTTTTTAAAAATTTATGTATTTGGTACAAGGTCTCACTACACAGCTCAGATTCATAGTGCTCCTCCTGTTTTTAGCCTTCTCAGTGCTGGGATTCCATGTGTGTGCCACCACGCCTGGTCTCTGTGGCCCACTCAGCACACCCAAGGGCAGGGCTGGCATGGCACGTAGAGTACTACAGAACCCAGGGCAAGGCCTTCACACCAAACTATATCCACAGCCCTTTACTTTTTTTTTTTTTTTTTTTTTTTTTGCCTTTTTTTTTTTTTTTTTTTGCCTTTTTAGACAGGATCGCATTTAGTTGCTAAAAGCCCTTGCTATAGTCCTCCTGCCTCAGACTCCCACAGTGCTGAGATTTGAGCAAGGAGCCACCTAACTGCTTAGTGTTGACTTCCTCCTTCATCAACCTCACTGCCTTATAGGCACTCCTCTGGATTATTTTGGCAAACTTTCTTACTTCTTGGTGAGAGAGAAACTTACTGCGATCCCACCCTCCACCAGTAACAGAAATGTCCTCCCCACAGACCAGAACTGTGTGTAGTTAGTGGCAGAGTCTAAATACCTGAATTTGCCCCTTCAGCGCAGTATTTGCTCCCATGTGTATTAGTGAAAAGAGAGTGCCCTTCAGGTACTTGTTTCTTTTTTACGATTTTTCAAGGTGACTTCCACTCAGGGTGCTCTAATAATTACACTACTAGCTTATTATATGTCTGCAGATCCTGCTGTATGAACATATGCACAACATGAAGGCCTAATGCCTCTACCACTGGGATAGTGCCTGTAGAAAAATTAAAGCTTTTTGGAGGAGGGCTTGATAAACATAACTGACTCAAGAAGCCAATTTATTCTGAGGAATTTATCTAGCTTCCAGCTCAGTTTAGGACTTGTCCAGCTTTCCCACTTTAGAAAATTTTAGAATTTACTCATATTCTGTTTTAGACAACATCCTTCTGTATCAAAACATTTTCATTTTATTCACTTGAATTTAGATTGCTTACTGACTAACTTAGACCCATTTGGGTTCTAGAAACTTTCAATAAAGTTCTCAGAGTTTCCCCTTAAAGAAAAAGATTAAAGATCCCTTTGGAGGAACATCTTTTTCACAGAGTGTGAAAAGGCCAGCGGCGTTCCCATGGGAATTGGCCACACAGTTCCTAGCCCACCCCGCGGATGCCCATTGTTCCCTAGACATTTCCCAGTTTCCTCCACTGTGGCATGTTGCTGTACTTCACGTCTAGGGAAGGCTGGTGCTCCTGGGGCTTTCCAAATGATGCAAAAGGGCTCGGCCTCAGTCTTTTTGCCAGAAATCTTAAGAGTCCAACTTTGTAGCTGGCTTATTATTATAAGAACCAACAAAAAGTGGTTTTGGCTATCTAGCTGGGCAGGAGTTAAAAACATAATTTTGGATAAATATTGCAACTCTTGGAACACAAATAAATAGCAAACATTTTCCTTCATAGGGAATAAGAGAAAGCCTAAGCTAATAAACTTTCTGAAATTGGATTTTGTGATCCCTCATGGTTTCACAGCATGTCCATTTCACTTGTAAATTTTGACTTGGAAAGTTGTTTGCTGTGGAATGATACAAATCTTGCTTTAAAAAAAACTCTTAACACAAATTCTTAAGGTTTATTTTTCCAGAAAATGTACCCAAACTCTCAAATTAGGAGGAATACTCGATGTTAAATGTATCTTAATTTACACTGAAGTTTCATATGATACAACTATGTGACCAATTCAAATCATCTCCTAAGTATTTTACTATTTTTTAAATTAAAAACTACATAAATGCCATTGAACCCAGTGGCTGATTGCTATGCCAAATTAGTGTTTATCTGAAAGAACAAAACAGTGGTTAAATTCAATTACAATCTGTGAGATACATGCAACACCAAAGGGTGAAAATAACAGCAACAATAAATGCTAATGGTGACTGTAATGACACTATTTAACTTTATAAACTTGATATACAGTGATAGGCAAGGCCAGTTTCTTTGTCCATTCTTGAGGTAAACAAAATATGATGAAAATGAAACTAAGCTATTATGGAGTCAAACAAAATGGACATCATACAAATCTAGACACACAGCTTTCTGCTTCTCAGGCCCAGATGTACATTTTAATCACCCACAGAGAGGTGGCTTTTTTACCCTAATAACTGAAACGCATGCATATGTGGCTAGACACACAGTTCCCAAACATGATATCTGCATAATCAGCCAGCCTCCAAGTTCCTGACCCAATCCCCCAGCCCCATTCCTTGCCTCCCTGCAGCTTCTGGCATTTACTATAATTAGCTTTTGTTTCTGCCAAACAGAAAACAGAAAAAAGACGGTCATACCTCTTAATACAGCACACCTTGGCTAGCATTGCAAACAGAAAGCAAAAGGCTTGATTTTTAAAGCCCTTGAGCTGGGACCCATGAGCCCCAACCCATCTGCAGCCGCTGGCGCCCCCCCCCCCACGAAAACGAAACCAAAGAGGCCCCCCCCCCCCCCCCGCGTGCTTGTCAAGCCAGCGGTGCACTTGATTCCCTCCTTGTGGACTCACAGTTTGTAATCAGAATTCAGTAAATGAATAACTGCTCCCCCTCCAAACTCCTATTTAGATTTAACGATTAGCAAAATGCTTCCCTTATTTCAATAGGTTTATAGAAGCTTTTTTGAACAGATCTACAGTTTGGAAGAATTAGATTTGTCTACTAACCAGTCATTTAGTTCTGTTAATGAATAACTCACTTTAAAGAACCAAGGAAGTTTTAAGCTGATTATCAGATGTAGGGCCTTTTCACTATCATCAGGAAAAAGGCTTGGGGGGAGGGAAGTAGTGGAATGAGATGTATAATGATAGACGAAAAATACCACAGAGGAACAAAATAATTAGTGTGAAGCAGCAGAAATCTAACTACACTATTGGTACTGCTAATGAAATACAGAACAACTGAATCAAGTACCCCAACTAGCACTAGGGATGTATTTCTAAGCCCCAACATGGTACCCTCTTGCATCAACTGAAATTGTTAACTCACTTCCTTTGCCTTCTAAACATAGAAATCCTCTCCTTAAGCATAATGTATTGGGGATTCCTTACAAACAGGCCAACATCTCTTAAGAAGAATGTACTCCAAAACTTCGAATGTATAAGCTAATCAGTGGTGCCCTGTTATGTTGTCACATCTGTAGGCTCTTATTTCCCTTTAAGAGTATAACATGGGCTTTCTCTCTTTACTGATTTGGACTTTTACCTACATACAAAGTGATAGAATATTTCTGAGCATTTCCTAAGCAGAGCTTTCATTTAAGCTGTGTGAATGTATTAGAGGCAGTGCAGAGGGGGAGACTA